TTAGGTTGAAAGAGGACATGGTGAGAGTTTTCGATGTCAAACCCAGTGCTTCTGTTTATGCATCACTAATTAAAGGGCTCTGCAAGGTAAATGAGTGGAGTTCGGCTTTTAAGCTTAAGGATGAGATGTTGGAAAATAAACTAGACTTGGATTCGATGATTTATTCCACTTTAATCAGTGCGCTTTTCAAGGTTGGTCGGAAGGGGGAGGCTTTTGAGATGTTGGAGGAGATGAAGAAAAATGGGTGCAAACTTGATACTGTAACTTATAATGCATTGATCTATGGGTTCTGTAAAGAGAAGGATTTTGATTCAGCTTTTGGTGTTCTAAATGAGATGGAGGAGAAGGGGTGTAAACCGGATGTCATTAGTTATAATATAATTATTGGTGGGTTTTGTAGGGAGGAGAAACTGAGAGAAGCAAATGAATTGTTTGAAGATATGCCGAGGCGGAGGTGTGCTCCAGATGTAGTAACCTACAGGATGCTCTTTGATGCGCTATGCAGTGGGATGCAGTTCAAGGAAGCGGCAGTTATTTTGGAGGAGATGATTTTCAAAGGTTATGCTCCTCGTGCTGAAAGTATAAATAAATTTGCGCATAGGTTGTTTCAAGAAGGGGATATGAAGTTGTTCTTCAGAGTTTTAGATAGTTTGGCAGAAGGAAGTTTTCTTGATGTTGGTACATGGAGGATTGTGATCCCTGCAGTGTGCAAGAAAGATAAGATGCCCAATGCCTCTGAGCTTTTTGATACTTTGTTAATGGCATAAAGTGGTGATCTGCCAATTAGATTAAGTTGGTTGTGTATAGCTATTGGCAGACTTTTACTGTGTTGAAGTTCATTATCATGCATTGGTATGCATCTTTAAACCTATCCTTATGTTCTTGCTGCTTGAAATTTGGGTGCTATAGACTTAGACATGGTGATGTTCTTGAGTGAAGCACCTTTGGAACCACAGGAGAATGTGGTGCTGATAGTCCGATACATGATCCATCAGAGTTACATAAATTACTGGCTATTACTTCAAGACCACATACAAAGGAATAATCTTTTATTTGAAGTTAGCACCTTCTCTTTCTGCTGGCCTTACTATTACTAGAGCATGCTATTTTTATGTACCATTCCAGAAAAGAACATTGTCAGGATAAAGGGTTGTAGAATGTAGAAGACGAAAAAGGAGATGAATTTTGGGAAATGGGATGAATTCATGGAACACTTGGGTTCTAATGTAACACAAGGGAAAGGAATAATTTCTAGCATGGTCAATGACCTTAGGCAGCCTTCACCATTTTAATCTACTAAATTTGATTGGGCATTTTGGTGAGATTTTGATTAGGCTCCTCCTTTGTGACTACATGTGTAAGGGGTCTTTGTCTAAATTGATGGTTCACCAAAGAAGCACCAACACTTAGTTGGGAGACTAGGTGGAAGAAATCCTTGCTTAGCTAAGGGAATCTAAAATCTTCATGTGCATTTCGGTACAAATGTACTTCAGTTTAATATTGAGGCCCATAATATCCCCTAATTGGGGTTTTGGACATCTGAGTTTCTGATTTTGTACAAGTGAAATTGATTGAGTAGAATTTGAAGTCGCGGTTACAGACTGTATCAAAGGGAAGTTCAGGGTCTATTCCCAATTGATGAAGGGCAATGATACTTACAGCTTTGGTGTTGAGATCCTGGAAATCTCGAGCGCAGAAGAATTTGGACTCCTCTCAGGTGTCTATCTAATTGTTATGCCATAAAGATGTGTTGTGCCATCTCATGACTATAGTATGGAAGGCCATCTGTGTCAACAGCAGCAAAGGCTTTAGAGGGTCTAGTATATTTTGAACCTGTCACCGAGGTAGCTTCTTAACTATCTGCCATTCACAAACTCATGGTGAAACCAATCCACTTGTTTCAGCTCTTGCAGTGGCATCAATCTGGTTAGAGGATCTTGGTGACAAGTATGTGATGTTGTAAGCTTTTTTGTATAAAAAAAATTGTAATGGGAGGATTATGCATTTCTCTGAAGAGATTATTTTGACCAAATAGTTCTACATTACAATTCAATAATTTTATTAAAATCTACTGAATCATTTACATTAGAAATGTCAACTTTTTCTTAGTTTTTAGTACATACATGTTCATTACATGTGCAGCAATGTTTACAACGCCTTGTAATAAATTTCAGATCAATTCTTATGGCACCATTCTCACTGTTAATGGAAGGAATTAACTATGTGACATGTTGCATTTCATTGGCTATCTTATCTAGACACTGTTCTGAGTTTCAATCTAGGCAGAAGATGAGAATTATTGTCCTCAACAGGAGCACGGGAAAGTTTGATAGGCGGCTTCGCACAGCCTTGGCACTTGCTTCTCTAACCCATATTGGGAAATGGGAGGCAACTCCAAACCTATCTTGTGTCATGTATATAACTTGGAGTAGAGATGGTACTCTACCAATAAAAATGTTGTGATTCCATGGTTGGAGGCATGTACATGGTTTGTATTGTGATTTCTTTTTGTCATAATCAATTTTCCTCCTTGCTGTACTATTTGTTTTATTATCATTATTACACAGTTCGTTGTTGTATTATAAGCAGGTAAACCGGGCTTAAGATCGGCTATTTTTAGGTAAAAACATGGTTGAAAGCTACGAAAGCGAACACAGTTCAGGTGGGCCTTGGCTGCTGTCTGCAAAATGGATCTGGGAAATGCTTGAGGCTGCTGTGTGCAAAATGGATCTGGTAAATGCTTGAGGCTGCTAGTGCTGTGTGCAAAATGGATTTGGGGTTGAGGCATCCTGTGCAGGCCGGCTAAATCCGGTTGGACAGCAGGTACATCTGTATCTACTAATTCAACATGCATTACTAAAATGGCTTTGGTTATAAGCTTTTGTTAGGACATCCATGTCACGGACCAGCCGCCTTGGGAGTGGTCCAATATTGCTTTTCTATACTGGTAAACAGAAGATGCTCTCCATAGGATTCCAATTTTGTTTAATTATATCAAGCCAAATCTTAGTTGCACTGGCCTTTTCAGGGGCAAAATCTTAGTTCTGCAGTCCCTGTTATATAGAATTGTTCTTCCATTCTACTATGATATTGAACCTATTATTGATCGCTTAATATAGTAAGTAATCTGACTTGTTATCATGGTTGACTTATCAATGCCTCTTTTGTCTGCTTCCATTGTCCTATCCTCTTGTGCTGAACCAGCATTGCATTAATTATACTAAAGTCAACCACAAAACAGTTTTTTTTTTTTGTCACGATATTTTCTGATACGAAAAAAAACTATCATATCCAATCCTAGTTTTCCACTTGTAAGAAAACTAATGTAAGAACTCTTACGATACGTTACGCTACTTCTAAGCGAGTAGTCGCTCCCACTTTTACACTCCACAATTTCACTCACATTCTATGTGACTTAATTTACAAATGTTAAAGTCTTTCTCTTTCCATTGGCAACTTTTTAAATTGTTCATCTTTTAAACCCATAATTTCCAAACAAGTGATAATTAATACGAATTTGTATATTATATGCGACAGTAACACAAAAGAAAAGGGATTTGTTTGACTAAATGAAACACCCACTATAATTATTATTTTTTATTTTTTTGAAATATTATAAAAATAATATATTGACTAAAATATGTATCAGGTCAGTATGTAATTAACTAGTTAAGGGTGTGTGCTTCTGATGGGTCGTTTTCATAACCTTGTCAGTATGTAATTCACTAGTTAAGGGTGTGTGCTTCTGATGGGTCGTTTTCATAACCTTTGTTTTTTGGCCGTATCAGTGCAGTCGCTATAAACACCGACCCAAATCACCATTGAAATTCAGGCAATTCATCACTAAAAGTATTCATATTTCCACATGTTTTGAGTAAAGAATTTTTTTTCGTAAAGTTGATGAATATTACAACAGTAGCAGACTGTATTTGATATGTGCCCTTGCCTGGTTTCCTTGCCGTCCCAACCTTCAAATTGCACAGTAAACGGAGTTTGATTAGAGTGAATACATACAAATTAGTATTCAAATTTGTGTTTTAATATCAAATTGCTATAAAATCCGAATCCGACTTTAATTATAAGGACGAAATTAATGCCGGACACATGTAATCTACCTATATTGTGACTAAACATAGATGGGTCTCACTTAGATGACACAGAAGACACATTACATGCAAATTTATTATGAAATCTAACTATAAAATTTCGTAATCACAAATTTAGTTAAAACGATATTGATATTGAAGATTCACAAATGAAGAGTTTTTTAACTAATCAATAGGTCAGTGACTCAACGGTATCAGACCTTTACTTTTCAAAGGGAGGTCAGGGTTTAAATCTCCATGGAGGCATGTGTATATTAGTACCACCATCTAAAAAATATATATATATATATAACTATATTTGAGAGTACCAAATCAATATAACTTTTAACTTTAGGACTCCGATTTAGTGCTTTTAGATGCAATATAAGTGCAGGAGGGAGTAAGGACAGCGGCAGAAATTGCCAAGAAACATGGGCCGGCGGCTTAGTTCATGTGTGCCTACCCAATTTAATGCCACGAGGCATTTCTAATTCACGCTTGTAAAATCAGAACCAAAATATTTTCTCTAGTTTCAAACATCTTGACTCAGCCGACTAACTTGACCTTTACGCCTCTCTCTCTCTCTCTCTCTCTCTATATATATATATATATATGGCATTGCTATATAAGCATATCACATCCCAGCCATTGTAGACAACACGAGCTTAATTTACCTCATTTCCCTTAAGCCTCAGTACTCTCTTTGTTTCCTCTCTTATATCATTCTACATGGCTCGCTTAAGCACACTTGGGCTCTTTTGCGTTCTAGTTTTAATCTGTTATGTGCCATCTTTAGAAGCAAGGAAGCTCATGAGCATTGAGAGGAGGAGGACAGTACCATCTCTGGAGGACGCTTTGGTCCTAACTGCCCTTCCCAAGGGCACTGCCGTCCCACCTTCTTCCCCAAGTGGTAAAGCTCCCGCAATGGTCATCTATGAAAAGCTCCTCTCTCAACACTTTTCCCGCATTGATCGGATTTTGGGGTCCAGCCCAAGTCCCGGAGTCGGCAACTAGACACAGCTTTCCTGGAAAACTTTATACGGATATATATATATATATATATATATAAACATTTATATAGTACGATAAATGCTGTGATGGTGTGATTAGCTCACGATGAAAATTTATCTTTCTGATTTATATGTAAGCAATGTATAGTTATACATATTGATTGAGTTTGTATTGATTAATGGAAGTTCTTATATATATATATAGTCACTGTATTGGTCAACAATGTTGACTAGTTTCATGTTATGTATTGGAATTATTATTTGAGTTCCTGAAATGCTAGCATTTAAAACATGATGAAACTGAAAATCAGATAGCTAGTACTAGTAATCCTATTGATTAATTATAAATGAGACATGTTTGAACATTTATTTTGTGACAATTCAAATTATTTGATAAACTAAAAATGGTAACATTAGTTTAATCAAATTTTATTAGTATGTTACATGCTATTGAACTTCTTATAATAACGTGTCATGTACGTTTCAAATAACATGATGAAAATTTGACCATATGTACACCTGAGATCCATCCCCTTGAAATGACAACACTAACCATCCAGTAGTCAAACAAGTCAAGTTCTTGCACTCAAATTCTGTGTTGTGATTTTTGGTGCTGCAATGGTGCCGTAGGGATTTAGACACCATTATATCTATATTTTCAATGCATTTATATCAATTAGATATAATGTGCTGAAAAATAAATGTAGCATGTTAATAATTATTGCGTTAAAAAATAGATGTAATGTACTGAAATGTGTAAAACACAACACCAATAGAGATTATGGTTGAGGATGTGGGTTCTAAGGTTTAAAAGTCAATTTTTCTGTAGGCGGAATTTTTTTCAATAATTGATGCTAAATTATGAAATGTTGTAAGAGATTTGACACCACTATTTTTGAATATGTATAATAATAATAATAATAATGATTACTATATATGGTTGTTACTTATCAAAAAAAAAAAAAAAAAACTAAATATGGTTGTCCTAATTATTTACTTTAAAAGATAATTATAAAGATGGGAATTTTTCTAAGGAACTCAATCACCCATTTATGTAGTATTATTTGAGGACAATTAGTAAACATACTTGGATGAATTATAATCCAATTTGATGTTTTCAACCATTTGATTGATTTTATTGAGAGATTATGATCTTTTAATGTTGGCCTAAGTCAAAATTAAGGCACCAAAAATCCTAATTTAGCCCTAATTTGGACTCTATTCCACATTCCAATTGTGAGAATGGGTGGGTTGTTGGGAGATGATACAATTTCACCTTTGGAGTGGACGTGGAGTCTTTGGTACTCTATGATTGTACCGATTAATGGACTTTTTGATGTCTGGTTGATGAACAATAGCGGAAATAGGGAGTGAAACAATATATATATAAGTCCCACCCTAAATTTCTCAAATTATTTTCTCAAAATAAAATTGTTTATGCATCGGATGCAATCATGCCAGGAGTGGCAAAGTTTGAAACGATCCGCTAATACAACTCGAACATGACACGAGTTAAACGGGTTTGAATTGATCTTAAACGAATTTAGATCGTAAACGAGTTAACATGCTTAACCCGTTTAACTAATCGTATCGTGTTTGGGTTGAGGAGTTCAATCCGTATAACCCGTTTAACTATACGTGTCATAAGTAAATTTGTATTTAAGTTCCAAAATAACTATATAAACTTGCATCTTATAATTTATTTTTTTGTAAATTATAGATTATTTAGTAATTTGGTTGGATTGAATCTTATATTTCTCTAGTTTTTAATGTTTAATCGAGTATTATTAATAATTTAAATAATAAAATATTTGATTTTATTAAACAGATTATCAAGCGGGTTATACCTTTATAACCCGTTTAATAAACAAGTCGGATTAGTGTTGAGGATTCCTAACACGATTATTAAACGTGTCGTATTCGGGTTGAACTGTTTAGTAAAATACTCTTACATCAACATGACACGATTACAACTCACGAACACAAATTACCACCCCTAAATTAACTCTGTTAAACCAAACTTTATATCACAAAGACTATATTAAGTGACCCGAGAACGTGGAGTCGACAAACAGTTCAACCAATAATTAGTACA